CAGTTCTTTCAACTTGAGAAATGCTGAGCGTGTTCTTCCCTTTGGGTTTTCTAATTCTAGGTCTTCACACATTTCATTATAGTACTTTACATTGTCTTCTCGAGCCACCCCTTGAATTCTTTTGCTCAGTTCTTCATCATTTCTTCCATTCACTTTAGCTACTCTATGTTCAAGAGCAAGTTTCAGAGTCTTTTCTGACATCCATTTTGGTTTTTTCTTTCTTCCTTGTCTTTTTAATGACCTTTTGCTATCTTTATGTGTGATATTCTTGATGTCATTTCACATGATTTGTCTGGTCTTAGATCGTTGGTGTTTGTGTTAGGTTAGGTTCTCTAGAGAAGTAAAACCAGTAAAGCTTATATATATATATATATATATAGAGAGAGAGAGAGAGAGAGAGAGAGAGAGAGAGAGAGAGAGGGAAATTTATCTTAGGAAAATGGCTCACCCACTTATAGAAGCTGGAAAGTTCCAGGTTCCTGGATCAAATGTCAAGCTGGAAGATTTTCCCGACTGAATGGTGAATTGTTCACTCATGGATAGTTGTAGGCAGCACAACAGGATCCAGATCCACAGAAGAGTCTCTCATTTTCCCAGGATGTCCATTTGTATATTGGCAGCAGGCTGCACCCCTAGGCAAACTCCCTTTCAATGAATGTGCTGCTCAAAACATATACATCCGATCTCATCATGGGAATAACCACATCACAACTGCTTAAACCACTCAGAATCGTGGTCCAGCCAAATTGACACACAACCCCAACTATCACAGTGTTCAGTGCATCAAATATTTTCTTGAGATGGTCTCTAAATTCGATTGGGATATTACTGAGATTGTGTTTTGGCTCTCATGGACATGTTTTACTTTTCTTTAGCTTCAACTTGTACTTGAGTATGAGCAATTGATGATCTGTTTCACAGTTAGCCCCTGGTCTTGTTCCAACCTGTAATATTGAACTTCTCCATTGACTCTTTCCACAGATGTAATTGATTTGATTTCTGTGTATCCTATCCGGTGAAGTCCACATGTATAGTTGCCATTTATATCATTGAAAAAGGTATTTGCAATGAATAAATCTTTGGTCTTGCAAAATTCTATCATGTGTACTAAGGCCATATTTTCCAGCCACCAATCCTTTGTTTCCAACTTTCATGTTCCAATCACCAGTAATTATCAGTGGGTCTTGATTGCGTGTTTCATCAGTTTCAGACAGCAGAATTTGGTAAAACTCTTCAGTTTCTTCATCTTTGGCTTTAGTGGTTTTTACATATATTTGACTAATACCCATATTAACTGATCTCCCTTGTATGCATATGGATATTATCCTTTCAGTGACAGTATTGTACTTCAGGATAGATCTTAATTTTTTTTTTGACTATGAATGTGCCACCATTCTTCAATTTGTTATTCCTGGTATAGTACATTATGATTGTCTGACACAGAATGGCCAGTACCAGTCCATTTCAGTTGACTAATGCCTAAAATATTGGTCTTTATGCATTCCATTTCAGTTTTTACAATTTCAAGTTTTCCTAGATTTGTACTTCATACTTTCCATGTTCCAATTATTAATGGATATTTACAGCTCTTATTTCTCATTTTAAGTCATGGCACATCAGCAAATAAAGGTCCCCAAAGCTTTACTCCATCCATGTCATGAAGGTCGACTGACTGTGCTCTGAGGAGGCAGCTCTTCCCTAGTCCTATTTTGAGTACGTTGCAACCTGAAGGGCTCCTCTTCTGGCACTTTATCAGACAGTGTTCTGTTATTCATAAGGTTTTTTTTTTTAGGGGGCCAGTGGCTCTCTGTTTATTTCCTTTTATAACACCATGCTGAGGGCTACAGCCAGAGTACAGAGGGGTGGGCTAGCCACCTCCGCCTCCCTGCTGTGTTTTCCTGTGGGGTTGGCACCAACTTTCATTATAATAGCAGCATGGCTGTCAGGGAACCAAGGCCAGAGAAACAGACAGCAGGAGAGGAAGTAGAGAAGCTGGTCAGATGCCTGCAGCTGTCAGTCATATATCCAGGCTTGCCACCCAGGGACAGGTGGAGGTGGAAGTGGTGGTTGTGGTGGGAGCATAATCTCTACCCGGAATCTTTTTGAGTGCTGTAGGGCAGACATTCTCAGACTTTAGTATACATCAGAATCACCTGCAAGGCTTAATAAAATAGGTTGCAGGGTTCCACTCCATTTAGGATTCAGGAGTTCTAGAATGGTTCCATTTCAGATAAATTCCTTTATGATATGGCTATAGTATTTCTATATTGTATTTCTATATAGTATTTCTCATGGCAAAGAATACCAGAAAGAGGTTTACTTGTGTTTTATTGACTATGCAAAGGCATTTGATTGTGTGGATCATGACAAATTATGGATAACATTGAGAAG